GGGCGCTGGGGGTGGAGGGCGGGGATCCGGGCGGGGACTGCCTGCGCCCCTGAGCGTGCGCTGTGCTCGCAGTGCTGAAGCGGCGGCTGGTGAAGCTCGTGGTGAATTTCCTCTTCTACTTCCGGACAGACGAGGCCGAGGTAGGGGCGCCCCGGGCGCGCGGGCGGGTGCCAGGCTGCGCCCCGCGGAGGCTGGGCGCTCACCGCCGCGTCCCGGCGCCCGTGTCTCCTCCAGCCCGTCGGAGCCCTGCTGCTGGAGCGCTGCAGAGTCACCCGGGAAGAGCCCGGCACCTTCTCCATCAGTGAGTGCGGCTGGGGAGGCCGGCGGCGCCCCCAGCAGCCCGGGGCACCCGCAGCGCCGCACTGTCCCCTCCCCAGGCGCCCGAGGCCGCCTCTGTGTCCCCAGCCTGGCGCCACCCTCCCCAGACACAAGAGTGCGTTGTCCACAGCCAGCTCAAGGTCAGGTCCTCTTGGCGGGCACCGCCGTGCCTACCTGCCAAGTCCACTTAAGCTTGGGTCCCTCCCAGAGTCGGCTCTTTCTTCCTGTGGGCCCAGGCTGTACTCACGGGGCGGACGGGCCAGCATGCAAAGCGTTTCCCTAGCTGTCGAGATTAGCGTGGGCCTACATTGTTGTATGGCCCTGGGCTGGAAACCCCAGGTGGGGGTGGGGGAGTGAGAGGGGTGTGGCTCTCCTGGGTTTTTTTTTTTTTTCGTTTTTAAAAAAGACGGGGGTTTCACCATGTTGGTCAGGCTGGTCTTGAACTCCCGACCTCAGGTGATCCGCCCGCCTTGGCCTCCAAAGTGCTTGGATTATAGGGGTGAGCCACCGCGCCCAGCCTCTCCTGGGTTTTAAGATTCCCATCTTCGGGGAAAGATGGAGTTTGCCAGAGTGGCTTCAGTACCAGACACGATCCCAGTTCCTGGTGATGGCCATCATCTTCCAGCTTCCTTGGTTTGTGGAAGCATCACATCCCTGCCTCCATCCTCATCTTGTCCTCCCTGCATCGCGTCTGGGTCCACGTTTCCTTCTACACAGACACCAAACAGAATTGAGGGCCCACCCTGACAACCCCGTTTTATTTTATTTTTCGTGACGGGGTCTCATTCCGTCACCCAGGTTGGAGTACAGTGGCGCCATCTCAGCTCACTGAAATTTCTGCCTCCCGGGTTCAAGCGATTCTCCTGCGTCAGCCTCCCAAGTAGCTGGGATTACACGTGCCTGCCACCATGCCCAGCTAATTTTTGTATTTTTAGTAGAGACACGGTGTCATCACGTTGGCCAGGCTGGTCTGGAATTCACGACCTCAGGTGATCCGCCTGCCTTGGCCTCTGAAATGCTGGGATTACAGCTGTAAGCCACAGCACCCAGCCCTCTTGATTTGATTTTTGAAACAGGATCTCGTTACCCAGGCTGGAGTGCACTGGCATAATCACAAGTCACTGTAGCCTCAACCCCCTTGCCTCAAGCAATTCTCCCACCTCTGCCTCCTGAATGTCTGGGACTACAAGACCCCACCACCACACCGGCTGATCTTTGTTTTTGCAGAGACAATCTCCTGAGCTCAAGCAGTCCTCCCACCTGGGCCTCTCAAAGCTCTGGGATGACAGGCGTGAGCCACTGCACCCAGCGACAACCTCATTTTAACTAGTTCATTTGCAGAGGCCCTATTTCCAAATGGAGCCACGCTCCTCTAGGTTCTGGGGGTCAGGACGTGAACACATCTTTGTGGGGGCCACAGGGGGGTGGTTTTGGGCACTGGCAAGAGGAAGCTGCCCCTGTGGTTGTGGGCAGGACCGACGTAGGTGCTCCCTTCCCAGGCTTCATCGAGGACCCCGAGAGAAAGTATCACTTTGAGTGCAGCAGCGAGGAGCAGTGTCAGGAGTGGATGGAGGCTCTCCGTCGGGCCAGGTGGGGCCACGTGGCCGTGGGCACAGCTGGGGTGGGCACAGCAGCCATGCAGAGCAGGCCTCTGACCCCTGTGCCACCCTCTTCTCTAGCTACGAGTTCATGCGGAGAAGCCTCATTTTCTACAGGAACGAAATCCGGAAGGTGACAGGCAAGGTGTGTACAGGGCTTCGGGTGGCCAGGGTGGGGCTGTGGGTGGTAGAGTCCTCCGGCCCTGGCTCACAGCCATCCGTCCACCCCACAGGACCCCCTGGAGCAGTTCGGCATATCCGAGGAGGCCAGGTTCCAGCTGAGTGGCTTGCAGGCATGAGTGCAGGGCATGGTGGTTGGCGTGCAGCTGGGTGGGACTGGCCTTTGCCCAGCCCTGAGTTGCTTGGCCATGCCTGGATTTTTTTTTTTTTTTTTTTTTTTTTTTTTTTTTTTGTGTGTTTTTTTTTTTTTTTTTTTTTTTTTTTGAGTCAGGGCCTCACTGTTGCCCAGGCTAGCATGCAGTGGTGCCATAGCTCACCATGACCTTGACCTGGGCTCAAATGATCCTGTTGCCTCAGCTTCCCAAGTAGGCTGGGACCACAGGCACGAGCCCCCACACCCAGCCCTCACACCTGGATTTTCAGCGGGAGGTTTTTGGTTTGGAGACATCCAAAGCTTGAAGCCGGTGGGTGTGGGCAGGCGCTGCGTTTTGTGAAACTGCCCAGCAAGCCGCCCTCCTCAGGGCCCCAGGACCCACCCGACTGGCCTGGCACCTGGTGCTACGTGCTGCTGCCGGGATGTGCGCCCTCCCACGATTCCCCGCCTGAGTTTTGTGCATCCAGGGTCTGGTGGGCACCCGGGCTGTGTGGCCCTTCCGCCCTGCACAGAATGAATGTACAGGGCCAGAAAAAGCTGTGAATGGAGTGGGGGCCGAGTCCCCCCACCAGCTGTGAATTCTGCAGACAGGAGCCCCGGCTGTGGGCCTGGGGAACTGCTTGTCCTGTTCAAATAAAGGTACCTCTTTTTCACAGTGGATGGCAGTGCAGTGAAGGAGAGGGAGGGGCGGCTGGGGAGTCCGCACCCCAGAGAAGCAAGGCTTGGGGTCTTGAGAGGTCGGGGCTGGGTCTCCTGCACTGAGGGGAGGCCTGGAACCCGAGCCCGGACAGGTGGAGGCCGAGACCCAAGCCTGGGAGGATGCGGCTGCTGTGTGGTATTAGGAGTCCTGTGGTGACCTGGGGTTCCCACCTGGCATTCGTTGCCCACGCCCCCCCAGAGTGTGGATGGGGCCTGGGCTGGCTTTGTCCCTCCGATGTGGCAAACGACTTTGCCGGTGTTGTCGGGGCTGCAGATCTGGTTTTGCGTTCATCCGAAGGCAGTCTGCCCACAGCCTGATGCAGTCAGGCTCGGGCCTCCTGGTGTCAGCCCTCAGAGCTTCTGCTAGGAGCGACCCCAGACCCTGCACCCCGCTGCTTCAGCGATGACTCCCTTGCCGTCAGGAGACACCTGAGGCCACCAGAAAGAAACGCTGCCGTTCACACAGGTCCAAGTGAAAATGGTCTGTTTATTACAGCGTCTAGAGGTGGGGAAGCAGAACGCAGGGGTGCCCAGAGGAAGGGGCGCCCGCAGCCCAGGGGCGGACCGTGACAATGTGCGCAATCCAAACACAGTTCACCAGGAAGACAGCAGAGCCTCCTGAGGGCAACAGACAAGGGCCGACATAGAGCAGCAGCGCGTGGGGGGCTGACCACTGATGACGGGGGAGGGGGCCCTGCTGACCACTGAACAGACTGACGCGTCCTGGGGCGGATAAATTAAGGGGCAAGTCTTAAATAAGTCACCGAGCGTGCCTCACAGGCCAAGGAGGGGGCGTCCTAGTCATCAGGGTTCCCATCAATTCCTGAGCAAGAGCCGCTCCCAGGCGCCACCCGCCCGCGGTCAGCAGCAGCGCAGGTCCCTGCCAGCTGCCCATGGAAGCTCAGGCTGCGCACCAGCACCAGCCTCCACTGTCAACCGCCACCAACCCCCGTCTGGGAGTGTCTGAGGAGGACATGGCCCAGGGCTCAGAGTGGGAGGGCGTCTTCGGGCAGCAGCATTGCTAGTTCACACGTGCCCCAGGGGGCTCAAGGAGACTTCTGCCTGGGCCAGTGGCTCCGAGACCCAGTGCGTGTCCTAAACACATGGTGGTCTGCGTGGGCAGGGGCCGCAGTGGCACCCCGGCAGCCACTGTCCCCTGGGGGGAGGCAGAAGTGATACAGTGTTTCAAGAGTGTGTCTTGTTCTAGACCAGGGGACTCCATGCTTTCTCTGCCGTCAACCCTGGAGCATTTCCGGCCGGTGGCGGCACGGAGCAGGCTGCCTATCCTGAAGGCCGGGCTCGGGCAGAGGCACAGCACCTTCAAGCTGAGAGCACCAACGTGGGGGTGGGAAGGACAGGTTTGGAGCACCATCTTCAAAACTCAGCTAGGTTGGGGGGGCCAGGGGTCTGAGGGACAGGTTGTTGGGGGCCAGAGGGAGGCAGCACCCCCCCACCAGGCACAAGCAGGGGTCTTCCAGGTCCTCCCACACAGGACTGCCCCCACCCAGCAACCACAGGAGCCTTTCCTCCGCGGCTCCCTCTCCGGAGGCCACGGGGTAGGAAAACGTGGTGGGGACCAGAACGCAGGGCTGGCAGCTCCCTGGAGGGTGGTTCTGTGACACCTGGGGAAGGGCTGCCCGATGCCACCTCACAGCAGCAACTTGAGAAGGTGGGCTCAACGGGTGTGACAGCCTGGGCCCCATGTGCAAGGAGCTAGGACTCCCAGACCCCATCCTCCAGGGAGCGCGCGGAGACAGCACTGCCTGGACAAGCCAAGCACCGACTGCTTAGGGCTCGGCAAGCACCTGAGTGGCTCTGACTGCCGGCCATAGCCCGGCCTCGCCCTCTCCTTGCACGCCCAGTCCCAGGCACCCCCAAGGCTGCAGAATGGGGGGGCAGATGCCATCCCAGGGCCTAGGGCCAGAGAGGCCAGGCTTCAGCAGCGCACCCCGGCCCCAGCACACCCACTTGGAGGGCTGGGTGCCAGGCGGGACCCTGACAAAAGGGACGTGGGCCAGGAAGAGGCTCAGGCAGCTGTCTGGACCACTGGGGACTGCAACTGAGGGGTGTGGGGTGGGGGCTGACCCTGCGGCCATTTTGTACACTCTGAATAAATAAGGATTTCCCCGCACCTTTCTTTCCTCTTCACTGTGCATTATACCATCTAAAAATAAAAGCTGTTAAATCTATGAAATTTATAAATTCTTATCACATCTCTATAAAATACTGCCACTCATTAGTGTGACTCTCTCCTGTACAGAAACACCAGGGGACCCTCGACAGGCCTGCCCGTGTCGCAGGGCGCGCTGCGAGCCACGGAAGCCGAGAAATACAAAAGTAAATGCACTTGTACGGCGCCTGCCGTCCTCACAGCACCATCGCAGCGCACGGCGCGGGCCCCCCACGCAAGGGCACCACCCAGGCCCCGTGGGGTGAACAGTCCGGGGTTCACAGTGACAGGGCGGGGGTGGAGCGCTCAGCGCAGGCGCTAGGGGCTCGGGAAGGGGCTCAGGCCACGGGGGGCCTCCGAGGAATGTGGCAGCGGCGGGCCTGCCTTTGGTACGGGAGCAGTGCGTCGTCGGGGGGGCCGGCCGGGCGGCGTTTCCGAGGACGGGGTTCGGCGTCGTCAGCGTCTAGTCAGCACCAAGCGGGCGGAGGCAGGCGCAGGCCTGGGGACGAGATAGCACCGGGGCAGGCTGTCGGCGAATCCGCTGGCGGGCCCGCCCTGCAGACACGTGTCTTTATATAGATCTCTCATATATAGATATTTATATTTCTCAATAAGTTGCCTTTACCACTTAGATGGAATAAAATAAGTCAGAATTGTTTATACTTTTTAAAAAACGATAAATACTTTATCTAAAACTATCGACAGTACAAACTGGACCAGTCCCAGCCTCCTGTGGCGCGCGCCGCCGATTCACAGTGGAGCCCCGTCGTCCTCGCCTCTGCCATCAGGGTGGGAGGCCGGCGGGCAGGTGCCGCGGGCGCAGTTGGTCCACACCGTCCTTGCATAGGTCTCGCGGTTGAGGTAGAAATCCTAGTTACCTGCAGGAGGGCACAGTGGGAAGGGCAGTCTGTCACCCTCACGCCTGGGGAGCCTGACACTCACCCGGGCCGGGGACCGAGGCCTCCCACGAGCACACTCGCCACCTGGGGCCAGCACCGTGACAGGCAGGGCGCTGGCCCCTCCAGCCACAGCAGGCCCGGGGAGCCTGACACCTGGCCACGCCAGCCAAGCTCCGGCCTTCCTCCAGAGACGCACAGCCAAGTCCCACTAAGGCCACCCTACCTGCAGCACATCTCCTATGGGACCTGTGGGACCTGTAGGAGCCCATCCCGCCCACAGGTGCCCGCCCTGACCCGCCAGGCCCGCTCCTCCTTCTATTCAGCACACTGCAGGGCAGGCCAGGCCAACCAGCTCCGGCCCTGCCTCCGCCTCGGCTACCAGTCCACCTCTCCTTGCCCCAGCGAGATGTGGGCTTGCCCATGAAGGCCTGCGTCCCAGGGCCCCCTGAGGCAGAAGGTCAGGGGCAAGCAGAGGGCACCTTTGCACTTCACTGCCCGGCACGCCATGTCCCCGGAGGGCACAGGTGGCCAACTACCCTCGGGGGTCAGCAGCCAGTTTCCACCACCTCTCAGAGGACGGGTGGCTCGGACGTTCCCTGAAGGCCTCACGGCCACAAACTCACTCCTGCCTCCCACTTCCCCTGGTGCAAAGGCGGGCGCTATCTACGTTAGCCTGTGCACCTCAGTGCTGACGTCCGAGTGGCTGGAAGCCCTCGGCTTTCGGCCACAGCCACAGAGCAGTGCGGCCGCCATCGGCCGTGTCCCGGGGGCAGCCCCATCACGCAGGGCACAGAGCTCGCCTCTCAGCCCCACTGGGAACCCATCAGCCCCCCAGGCAGGCGGGATACCAGGGGCCTCACCGGCTCCCTATGAGAGGTATCCGAGGCCATCAGCCAGACAGCCCTGACCAGAGGCGTCCGTCCTGCCAACCTGGCTTCCCAGGACCTCTGCAGCTGACACCGCACCACGCCACCTGTCCCGAGTGACCTGGGCCTGGTGCAGATGGAGCCCTGGAGGCTACTCCCAGCCCCCTGAGGGGCTGCACCCATCCTTGGCACGGCACCCCGTGAGCCTCACCCACAGGGGCTGGCACAGCTGCCCCCAGGGCTGGCCTCCGTCCTGCGGCATCACCGCAGGTACCCAGCTGTGGGCAGCTGGAAGCCAACACGCTCAGGCCACGCCATGGCCAGCGCCCGTCCTGCAGTCCCTCCTCTCGCTTCCCTCCTCAGGACCCCCGGCCCTTCTGCCGAGCCCTGTGGGCCATCTTCTCTGCCAAAGGAAGGACAGTTCAGTGTCTGGAGGGAGCCACCGCGCGGGGCTCTGGCCTTACCTTACACAATACGCACTGCTAGCTAAGCAAGGTCTTTATCGCGGCTTAACCCCTGAAAGGTGCGCGGCATAAGGAGGCGGCATGCCAAGGGACACCCACACAGCGGACGGCCCCGTGGCGCTGGCCTGCGGGATCCCGGGCGCGGCCTGTGCCAGGGCCAGCCGGGGCAGGGGCTGGTGGTGCACCGTGAAGGAGGGGCGGGCGCCCTTGTGCGGGAGGGAGGTGAGCTTGATAGACAAAGAGGCATTAGCAGGCGGCAGAGAGGCAGCAGAGGCGGGGGGCAAGAAAGCTTGGTTAGGCGGGAGGGACGCGAGGCTCTGCAGAAGCACGGGCTCAGGGTTAGAGGCCAGCAGCGTTGGGGGAGGAGGCAAGGCGGCGTTAGGTGGGAGAGCGTGGAGGATGGGAGGCCCCGCGGGGGGCCGGCCCAGGTGCGCAGGCGGGGGCAGCGGGGGAGGCGGAGGCGGAGGGGGCGGCCGGGTCTCAACCGAGGCCGGGGCCTGAAAGGAAGAGGCCGAGGCGCTGGCCGCCGCCTGCAGCGGGCTCGGGCCCAGCGTGGCACTGCCACACGCAGCCCCGCGGCCGACACGGGCTCCAAACGGATGAGCAGAGGCGGAAGGCACCGCGTGGTTAAAGACACCTGCAAACAGGAGAGAAAAAGGCAGCTTCAACAGGCGGCAGCATCCAGTCACGTGCAGAGAAGCAGCCGCAGGCTCACAAAAGGAAAGCGAGACGGCGGCGCCGGGCGTGCGGGCACCCAGCGCAAGCAGCAGCCCCAAGGCTCCTCCGCCCGGTCTGGGCAGGCACTGCGGGGACTCGCTCTTACCCAACACCAGCTCCCAGAGCCTTGCCAGAGCCCGGGCGGCCACACCTAACAGGTGACCTCCACGGGAGAAAGGAATGCCCTGGTGACCCTGCGCACCGTGGCCTTCTGAAAACAAGAGGGACGCCGTTATAACCAGAGAACCCGAGACACACGGACTCAGCAGGAGCCCTCTCCCCACAGGACTGGAGTTCCGGACCATGACCAGACGGTGGGGACCAGCTGCTCGGCTCCTGGCCCCAGAGGGCAGGGAAGGACACCTGCAAAGGAAGGGGCCGCCGCCCTGCCTACCTCCAACTGTGCTGCCTGCCACCCCGGAAAAGCTGCCAATGGTGTGCGAGTTGGTGAGTCTGGTGGCAGCGGACGACACGTGCACCAGGCCAGCGGCGGCCGGCACAGAGCTGAAGAGCGACTGCAGCACGGAGGAGCCGGCCACGGAGCTCAGATTGGCCTGCAGGGCCATGGGGCCCAGCGCGAACTGCGGCCCTGGCGGGAAGGGGCCCAGGAAGGGCCGGTGTGTCTGGGTGGAGGACCCAGAGCCGCCTGCAGAGGACGCCGCCGGGGCCAGGACCGGGCCGCTGAGGAGGCCTCCGGGAGGCACCGCGGCCGCGGAGATGAAGAGGTTGTGGCCGTTCTTGAGGTCGAGCTCACGGTCCCGGGCCTTGGCGGCCTTGCCGGCGGGCAGCGCACTTTTGTCCGCGGGGCCGCACAGCGGCAGGCCTCCCTCCCCCACCTCCTTGCCGCGGCCACCCTCGCCCTTCAGCCCGGCCAGGCCGTCTAGCTGCCTCTTGCTCAGGAAAGGGTTGGCGTCCGAGGCCTCCTTGGTGCGCTGCGAGGGGAAGCCCAGCGGGGAGCTCAGGCCGGCCGCCTCGGGGCCCTTGTGGGGGACAGAAGCACCATCACTGAAGCCGTGTGAACTCAGCTCAGCGGCCAGGCCCCCGCCGAAGGTGCAGCAGTTCGCAGGGTTGGTGCTGGGGCTGAGTCCGTCGGCCCCTGACAGGGAGCCGGGAAAGCCTTTCCTGGGGTGGGCAGCCAGCTTGGCATCGGCGGGGGTCTCCTCCAGGGCAGGCCGGAACGCGAACAGGGAGCTCTGGCTCAGGGTGGGGCCGGCCTGCAGGGGGCTGTCCGCAGCCTTGGCCAGGCCGATGTCGGAGATCGGCGAGAAGGTGGACTTCCACTTGCTGCTATTGACTGGCCTGCCTGCCGGCGTGGGCCTCCTTCCCGCCACGCCACCACCTGGCAAGGAGGAAAGCCATGAGGCTAACCGGGGCTGCTGCCGCAGCACGAACAACTCTGCAGACAGGGCTGCCGCAGATGTGCAAGAAGCCAAGCAGGCTGGGCCGGGGCGGGACGGAGGGGAGGGGACGAGGTGGGACGGGATGGCACAGGCAGGATGGGATGGAACAGGCGGGGCACAGCACAGGATGAGACGGGAATGGATGGGACAGGACCGAGGCAGCTCAAGAGGGTGTCAGAGGAGCCCGGGTAGGATGAGGTCAACCTTAGCTCTGGGGAAAATTTGGAGGCCAGAGGCCTCTGGGAGGAAAGGTGGGGTCATCCCTGAGCAGGCCAGGGGCCTCACAGAGGACGCAGACTCAACAGACGACGAAAGCAGACACCTCTTGGGGGAAGGCCAGGGTCCGAAAAGAACAAGGTACCCAAGGCGAACACCTGCAGGTGAGCACCCACTGCAAGAGTGTGGCGGGTGCACGGAGGCCCTGGGCTGCCGTGAGGGCCTCCGGGAAGCAGTTCCAGAAGCCCAGAGCCCCCAGTGTTGCGGTCAGCAGCACTAACAGCACCACGGCCAAATGGACAGGCCTGGCCACGTCCCAGAGCACTTGTTACTCACCATTTTCCAAGGTTTTGGGGGGAGATTTGCTTTCTAAGGAGATTGTTGCAATTTTTCTCTCAATTCTGTTAAGAAAGAAACGTCATTAATGTTTGAAACCCAGGTGCATACTAGGAGTGATGCAAGTGCTGACAGCAAACAGCCAGGACTGGGGAGACGGTGGACGAGCAGCAGCACCTGGGCCGGACGGGAGATCCATGCAGCCACCCTGGGTCAGGCCCGGATTGTGCAGCTGGGCCCTGGGATCCACCCCCATCGTGCCACAAGGGCACTGTCCTGGTAGAGACTCCAGGGCCTCTGCTGGGACAAGGGGCCAAGAGCTCGAGCATGCCAGCTGAATGGGAGAAGCCACTTCCCAAGCACACAGAAGCATGGGCGTCCAGACTGAGTTCTCTTCCCAGATCCCTCTCCTCCCCCCCAGACCTCGGTGCCTCAGGGGGCAGACAATGCCACCGCCTCGCAGGCCGGCGCGCAGAGCCACGTCCACCCACACGCTTCACGGGGCTGGTTTCATCCAGTGTCCCAGGAACACAGCAGGGACACCAGAATTCCCAAACACTCTGCAAACACTAAGCTGAGCAATCCCAACGCAAAGAGCACCCACGTGCTAGGATGTTTTCTATTTAACGGGCATGCGTGTTTGGAGCGGAGCAAAACGAACTAACTCAGACCACCACCAAGAGCTCTCAGGGCTGGCTGCGATGGCGCACACCTACAATCCCAGCACGCGGGGAGACAGAGGCAGATGGGCCGCTTGAGGCCAGGAGTTTCAGACCAGCCTGGGCAATATGGCAAAACCCCACCTCTGTAAAACAAAAACATCAACTAGGCATGGTGGTGGCGGGTGCCTGCAGCCAGAGCTACTCGGGAGGCTGAGGCAGGAGAATCACTTGAACCTGGGAGGTGGAGGTTGCAGTGAGCTGAGACTGCGCCATCGCATTCCAGCTTGGGCGACAGAGTAAGATTCCGTCTCAAAAAAAAAAAAGCAAAAACCCCACAATGTGATACCACTTCGCAACAACTCGGATGGCTAGAATCAAACACAGAAATTCATCGTGGCAAGGATGTGGGGACCTTAGCCCCCCATGTGCCCATGGCGGCAGGTGGAATGGTGTGGCTGCTGAGGAGCACAAGGGCTGGGTCACCTAGCTCCTCTGCCCAGACACCTGGAAACTCATTTTCAAACACAACACGCACACCCACGGCCACAGCAGTGCCACTCACAACTGCCAAGAATGGCAAGCCCAGCAACGGGTGGACGCATGGTGACGCACCTCCAGTCACCTTGAGGACCAGGGAGATGCCAGACCCAAATAGACACACCCTCTGTGATTCCACTCCTAGGAGGTCCCTCGAGCCCTCAGAGTCACTGAGACAGAAGGTAGGATGGGTCATGCCAAGGGCTCTGGGGAGGGGTTGGGGAGTGAGTGTTTCTTTGGAGAGGATGGAAGGTTCTGGATTTCGGCAGTGGTAACGCGGACATACCAAAGACCTCTGAAATGCACACTTTAAAAGGGGGACCTGATAGGTTAAGTTTATCTAGTAAAGCTGCTCTAATACACTGAGCAAGGCGTGCAGATGTGCCCCAAACGGCTCACTGCTGAAAGGTCTCTCCTGCTGCGCTCAGATCCTACTGAGCTTGGCATTTTTTTTTTTCTGAGACAGAGTTTCACTGTCTTGTTGCTCAGGCTGGAGTGCAATGCGAAATTTTGGTTCACTGCAACCTCTGCCTCCAGGTTCATGCGATTCTCCAGCCTCAGCCTCCTGAGTAGCTGGAATTACAGACGTGCATCGCCATGCCCAGCTAATTTCATATTCGTAGTAGAGACAGGGTTTCTCCACGTTAATCAGGCTGATTTGCAACTCCTGACCTCAGGTGATCTGCCCACCTTGGCCTCCCAAGTGCTGAGATGACAGGTGTGAGCCACGTCGCCTGGCCAGCTTGGCCTGTTCTAACTGGTGTCCCCACTCGTGTGCCAGGATCCCACCCCCAACAGCTTAGGAGGCCGGCCCTGCCCAGAACAGAGCCCAGGACCTGCAGGGAGGTCCCTCACAAAACAAATGTCTCTCTCCCCTCCAGGGCACCCCCTCGGAGTCTGCTGACCCTCCTCACCCACTCATGGTGAGTGCACGCCTCCTGCCCCTGCTGCCAGGCCCTGCCCCCATCCGGGACCCTGGACTTGCCGGGCGCTGCTGGGCTCGTCCTCAGAGCCTGGCTCCTCGTCGGAGGTGAGCGGGGAGTAATGCGCCCCATTGGTGTGGCTCAGGGGCCGCTCTTTCTTGAGCACGGGGGGCTGATCGTGGTCCTGGTAGGGCACAGGGGAGCTCTTCAGGGAGGTCTCAGGGGATGAGATGGCCGTAATCTCCAGGGGCTGGTTGATGTTATTGACCTGAGGGCAGACAGACACAGCGGATGCACACAGCACAGGCCAGGATCCCAAGGCAGGAGAGCCCCACCCACGACCCAGAAGGCTCCTGCCTGTACCCCAGAGTTTCCTGAGAAAACAGATGCTCTGTCTGGTGGCCCGTGCGGCCTCAGTCCTGGTTCCTTCTGGTCCTCACATACCACACCCACAGCCCAGAGCCCCCACACCCACTCCTCGTGTGCCCACCTCCACCAAGGCCCCACCGCCGAGAATGAAGCTTTCAGGCAGCTCACAGCTGCTCCGAACCCCTGGGGCAGCTGTGGGCCTGCTCTTCCCAGGCTGCCACGGCCGCATGTGGCGGGGGACGGATGACCGGCCTCAGTCATGGCCCCCCACCTCCCTCTGGTCTTTCTTCCATGGGCCGTGCTCCCTGGCCCTACCGGTCCCCATCCTTACCATGGAGTTGAGGTTTAGAGGAGACCCTGAAGGCTGCGTGAAAAGACCAGCGACAGACGGCAGGGCTCGGCGCTTGGGGGACACGCCTGCGGTCAAGCTGGGTGTCCCCGTTGACGCTCGCTTCCGCCGGCCACGCTTGCGGCTGTCCTGGCCGTGGCTCGGCACACAGTCCCCGCGGGCGCTGGCGGTCAGGGGGCTGTGTTTGCTGGAAGGCGACTGCTTGGTGCCGCCCGCGCCGGTGGCGATGGTGAACACGATCCTCCTCTTGGCCTCGCTCTCCGGATCTGAGAAGCCGGAATCGGAGGGCAGGTCCCCCTTGCTGGCCTCGGGGAGCGGGCCGTGGGCAGCCCCACTGAGCAGGGGGCTGGAGGAGAGCTGGTGGGCGGGAGAGGCCGGGCGCGAGTTCCGGGGCTGTGCCAGCAGCAGGGGATGCTGTGGCGTGGAGCTGCGGGACCCCACAGTGGCAAACAGACTCCCAGAGCTGGAGGACTCATCCAAGGCGGCGGGCTCAGCTCCAGGGGCGAGAGAGGCTGGGCTGCCTGCCAGGGTCCCGCTGATAGCCACCGAGCCAGCATAGGAGAAGCCTGCCGGGAAGGACATGGGGTTCTTAGGCGACGCAAGACTGCCTCAGTCCACAGGGGAGATGCTGGGCCCCACCTTGGCTGAGGAGGAAGCCAGGCTGTGGGAGTACCTCCCTCCAGGAGCTCCGTGGGCTCCAGGAGAGGCGGTGAAGCAGGGAACAGGGCTAGGAGGCTGAAATGGCCCCTCTGCGGTGGAACCAGAAGACTCTGTGGGCAACTTCAGGGCTCAGGGTTGACCCTGTGCCTCCTCCCATTCATCTGGGCTGCCTGTGCCCTGCAGGTCTCGGCTGAGATGCTGCCTCCCCTCAAGAAGCTTCCCGGTGTGGGCTCCCCGTTGAGCTGGGCACCTGTGAGGTCCCCTCTGCCCCTGTGATCTCAGAGACACCTCAAGGAAAGCCCATGGCTCAGTGGCCTCCCTCCCTCCTGTTCTCAGACGACAACTCAGCTTGGACCCTCGAGCCTATGGCTGCCCTGAAGGTTAAGGCCGCGCTCCCCAGCCCACAGTGAGCTGTGCACTTCTGGGACCACCCAGGACAAAGGGCGGCTGGAGTTAGTTGCCTGTTTATGACCCAGGTGCACACCTCCCGATACTGCCACTGCCTCTCACAGAACAGACCTCATCCCAAGGGCACAAGCCTGCCAGAGCAGAGCTGCCGGGCTTGGGTGGCCTCTCCAGGGCCCTCACGCGGTCAACCGTGACGCCGCCCAGCCACCCTAGAGCCTCCAGTCCTGACAGCAGCCGTGTGCTCTGCACTCTGCTGTTGCTTTGTTGTTGGTTTTGGTTTGGGGACGGAGTTTCGCTCTTGTCACCCAGGCTGGAGTGCAGAGGTATCATCTCGGCCCACTGCAACCTCCACCTCCCAGGATCAAGTAATTTTTCCTGCCTCAGCCTCTCGATTAGCTGGGATTACAAGTGACCATCACCACACCCAGCTAATTTTTGTATTTTTAGTAGAGACGGGGTTTCACATTTTTGGCCAGGCCAGTCTCACAGGTGATCCGCCCACCTCTCCCTCCCCAAGTGCTGGGCTTATAGGCGTGGGTCACATTTTACTTTTTACTCCTAAAAAAGTAGATGCCACATCACGCCACATGTCAACACAGGGCCAGCAGACAAGCCTGAGAGCCTGAGCCCTCTGCTGTTGTAAGCAGCTTCACTGGCACACAGCCACACTCACTGGCAGTGTCTCTGTGGCTTCCACATTAGACAGCCCTGCACGGTCATGACAGAGGCCTGCGCGGCGCCCCCTCTGGCTCTTTACAGAAACTGGGCTACCAGCAGAGACTGTTCACGGAACCCGAAACCAAGCTGCCGCCAGCACAGAGGCCCGCGGCCATGTGCCACCGTGCACTGAGTCAGGGGCCTCCCAGCTGAGAGTGCAGGAGCCCGAACAGGGCTGGGGCTGACCCCACGGCGGAATACAGACAGGTGTGAGGTGTCGGTGTCGGGAGACACAGGCCTGAGGCTGTCATGGCCGAAGCTGGGCCATATCTTCATCCCAGCTTGTGGGATGCAGGAGAGGATGTCGGGAAGGAGGCCCGGCGGTCCAGGGCAGCCCGATGATGGCCCTGGAAGCCCTGTTCCACTCCCGGCACCCAGCCCTCCTGCTCTGAAGGGCAGCAGCAGCAGCAGCCAAGTCCCAAGGATAGGACACAGCGGGGACGTTACCTGCAGGGGCCAGGGCAAGGCTTTTGCTCCCAGCACTGTGGGCATTAGCACCAATATGCTTTTCAAGTGTGGACGAGGGGTCTCGGGGCTGCAGCACAGGACTGGGGGTGCTTCTCTGCAGAGAGAAAAGCCAGTGTGTCAGGGGGAGGCCCAGAACCCAGCTGGTAACAGTGAATGCAGCTGGCCGGGGTCACCGTCCAGTCCGGGGTGGGAAGAGGGCAGCGGGTGAAGGACTGCAGCAGGGCCCTGGGTGGGTGGCGCAGGGCAGCGCCAGCGTGTGAATGGTGCGGCGGGCCTGAAGCAGGGAGGTCAGGAGGTGGGAGTCCCGGGGTCTGGCTGTGGGACGGGGGTACTGGGCACAACCCAAACCACCCACGCCCACCCTCTACAGGGAAACCGGCTGCTTTCTCTGAGCAGCACAGACAAATGTCAGCAGTCACGTGGGGCGAGGATTGCCACGCGAGAACACACCCACAGGCCGCCACACTGCAGGTCCAACAGAGGTCAGCAGAGTGACCCTGGGGCCCAGAGGCTCCACATGAGCCAAAGAACAAGCCTCCATCCACACAAAACCCTGGACCCGACATTCACAGCACAAGGATTCACAATTGCCAACACGTGGAAACAACTCGGTGCCCATCAACTGGGCTGGGATGACGACAGCGCACTCCATCCACATGGGGAATGCCATCACGCACCAAGTCAAGAGGCGGGACAGGCCTGGACTTGAGCACGTTCAGGGGCCTGGGAGGGCTGGGGGAGGGCTAAGGAGTGACTGCTAAGCAGAGCATCACTTCTTCTGGGGTGAAGAAAATGCCCCGGAATTAGACAGAGGCGTGTAAAAACAGAAAACCCGGCTGGGTGCCAGAGCTCATGCCTGGAATCCCAGCACTGTGGATGGCTGAGCCAGGTGGATTGCTTGAGGGCCAGGAGTTCAAGACCAGCCTGGCCAACATGGTGAAACCCCACCTCTATTAAAAATACTAAAATTGGGGCCGGGCGCGGTGGCTCGTGCCTGTAATCCCAGCTACTCAGGAGGCTGAGGCAGGAGAATTGCCTGAACCCAGGAGGCGGAGGTTGCGGTGAGCCGAGATCGCGCCATTGCACTCCAGCCTGGGTAACAAGAGCAAAACTCCGTCTAAAAAAAAAAAAAAAAAAAATACAAAAATTGGCCGTGTGTGGTAGTTCATGCCTATAATCCCAGGACTTTGAGAGGCCAAGGCCAGTAGATCACCTGACGTCAGGAGTTCAAGACCAGACAGGCCAAGATGGTGAAACCCTATCTCTACAAAAAATACAAAAATTAGCTGGGCATGGTGGCAGGCACCTGCAATCTCAGCTACTTGCGAGGCTGAGGCAGGAGAATCGCTGGAACCTGGGAGGTGGAGGCTGCAGTGAGCCGAGATCACACAATTGTACTCCAGTCTTGGTGACAGGGCAAGCCTCCATCTCAAAAAACAAAAATGCTAAAAACCATGAAAATGTACACCTGAAACAGAAAATTTTTAAAAAAGAAAGAGCTCAATGCCCAGAAAACCCCACCCATGCTCCACAGGATGAGATTCTCTACGGGCACAGCGTGGCGTGGGAGAACCCAGGAGCGGCTGCGACGACCGGGGCCACGGCAGGCAAAGGGGCGTCGTGAGGAGGAGGCTGGGAGCCAGGCTGGGCCTCTGAGCTCCTCCTCAACCGAGACGTGACACCCTCTCCACCTGCGCACCCACCTTTTACCCAAAAGCAAAAGGCTGGCGACAGCGGCAGAGGTGAGCGGCCGCACCGGGTGTGCACGGTCCCTTCACTGCACTGTCTCAAGCTCAGGCGTTAACAGCATGTGAATTCTCACAAGCGAGTTGGCGCTCGGGAACCCCAAACGGTTTGGCCTCAATGTGGCCCTTGGGGACCTCCCTGGGAAGCACTCACCACCCTCTCAGCGCGGCTGGGCAGCACCACGCTGGCCAGGGGGATGCTGACCGGGAGCTTGTTCGGCTGCACGGTGCTGAGTGGGATGCTGATGGGCAGGCTGGTGATGGGCTCCCCGCCGCTGCTGTAGGCACGCTCTCTCAGGCCCTGCAGACAAACACCGGACCCCAGGTTGCAGGTCAACACACTCCTCCAGGACACCAGAACCACAGCCACGAGACAGGGGCCTGCAGCTGCTCTCTCAAGGCGGCCCCCAGGCTGCCAAGGCCCCGCAACCTGCCCCACACAGGAACTCCTGGACAGCAGCGCTGGGTCACTCCAGAGGCACAGCACGTTCCTGGTGTCGTGTCTGAAAGCCATGCCCGTGTGTTCCCTCCAGCCTACCCGCCCAGCTCAGTGGGCTGTCACCTGTGGGGCCACTGAGCCTCCCTGGGCCTGCATCCATCACTGCCAAGTCCATGCAACGTCACCATCTATCCCTGCACACACAGGCCAGTGCCCCCAGGCAGTCCTCATAGGCAGCAGCCTTCCAAACTGGGCTATGAGTCTCCACCAGCCCTCACCACCCATCACTGAGAATATCAGGGCATCAGGGACACCCCGACAAACCCCACACCCTCCATGGCACCTGCCCAGCATCACCTGTGACCTGTCCTTACTGCCTGCCCCCCCAACTCAGCCACAACGTCCTCCAGGCAGCCCCAGTCCTTCACCGTGCCCCAAGGTCAACCAGGACAAGCCCCTGCTAGCAAGTTGCCAGGGCTGCCTCTGCTGAGCACCCCCATGAGCACCAGGCAGGGGCTGTGGCCCACACCTTCTCACTGCTCTTCTCTCCAGCAAGCTGCAGGGTCCCAGGGGATGGGGGCCGTGGGTCCTGGGGGCTCAGCTTCATGCTGCTGGGCACGCTGGGGCTCTGGTAGGGAAGGCCATTCTCCTTGGTGTGCTCAGCTCTGGAATGAGAAGCTGCAGTCACCCTCAAGGGCCACTTGGTGCCTCTGGCTGGTGCTCAGGGGCAGCGGCCTGGCCCAACACCTCCCCACCTTAGCCTCCTCAACAGATGCCCTCCTGCTGAGACCTCCAACAGCCGGAGTGCACCAGACGGAGTCCACAGGCACCAGGTGCAGACCCTCAACAGCCAGGGCACTTACCTCGGGTGCAGCTCGCTGGCGGCCGGCCTGCCTGGCACCGTGTGGTCCTGGCTGAGGTGCCGCCTCAGCACAATCTTGGCCGGGGACAGCCCGGTGTACTCGGGCACAGCCAGGCCAGACAGCTTCTCCACGCGCGGACGGCCGCCGTGGCTGGGGGTGCAGGGTACCACCTCCTGGTCTAGGGGTGAGGCCAGGTACTGGGGCGTGTTCTGCTTGGGCGAGGGCCGGCTCAGCGCGCTGCAGAGCTCATAGCTGGGAGTATGGCCATTCATGGAGAGCTCTGGGCTCATGCTGCTCAAGTGAGGCAGCGAGAACTTGGCGCAGTCCAGCTCCAGATGCAGCCGACCGGCGTCAGGCTCCAGCTCGCGGCCCAGGGTGCCCTTCCCGCGCAGGTGCAGGGCCAGGGTGTCGTCTGGTGGCACACAGGACTTGAGCTGCAGGAGCTCCTGCTGCCGCTGGCTCTTCTCCAGCTCCACGATGCTGATCTGCAGCAGGAGAGGCGGCGTCAGACCTGCCCTGCCTGGGACCACACCAGGGACCCGGGGCTGTGCCACTGACGGACCCCTGGAGGGGCGGCCAGGACCCTGGTGCTCATGTGGGATGGAAAAACCAAAACCACTGAATACCTACAAGCGGGGTTGGGAAGCTCGGGGACGTCAAATTAAGTAACGTGGAGGGCCAAGGATGGTTTCCATTGACATGAAAACACATTCTCCAAAAAGAGTAACAGGAAGATACAGAGTGCTCTGGTCTCTTAAAATAGACTCTAAGTGTGAAACATGCAGAGACACCCGTGGCGAGACATGCCACTGGAGCCTGGCAGTGCTGCCCCTGGCGTGGAGTCTGGGAAGGGCTTTTTCCTTTTGGTTTGTCTGTTCTGTTTCTCTGCTTTCCTTTCTTTTAACAAACACATACCGTTTATTGCAGAAAACAGATTATGACAAAAAGGGTTTGAACCCAAATATGCTCCTCCCAAGGCCTCTACTCCACGCGGCCTGGCTGTGGGAACGAGGTCACGACCTCCGTTTCTCAAGGTACGCTAGTGAGGCTCGCCAGGGCCACACACGTGAGCAAGCAGCTAGGCCGCATGTGCGTGGCGCTTCCCGATGCCAGCATGTGTGGGCTCCTGCCTCTCGGGGCAGCCTCGTAGCAAGGCTTTGGTGAAGGCCTTTGAAAGGACAACAGAGGGCTGGTGACGAGGCACCATGCCCATCAACAGTGAAAACACGCTGGGGACATGTGAGCTCAGCTGGTGGGCACAGCCTCGAAGGCACAGAGTTGTGAGAACGAAGCCTGCGACCTGCTGCTTTCCAGACTGCACGGCAGCTGCGCACGAGCTCCTGCCCAGGAGGATAGCACCTTCCCGCCACACGCCCTGCTCCACGCCTCCTCTACTCGGCCTCCATAAACACGTTTCTCGGTGTCAGAAAGTATGAGCTATTTTATTTTTCAGACAGGGCCTGGCTCTGTCACCCTGGCTGGAATGCAGTGTAAAAATCTCGGTTCGCTGCAGCCTCCACCTCCCAGGCTCAAATGATCTTCCTGTCTCAGCCTCCCCGGTAGCTGGAACTATAGGCACGTACCACCACACCCGGCTAACTTTTGCATTTTTGGTAGGGCCAGGGTTCCACGGTGTTGGCCAGGCTAGTCTCCAACTCCTGACCTCAAGTGATCCACCCGCCTCAGCCTCCCAAAGCGCTGGGATTACAAACATGAGCCCCTGCTCTGTTCCAGTGATTTTCTAGAGCAAATTTTGCCCATGACTGTTGCAGAAGCAGTCGGAGGAGGAAGCCAAGAAATCCTAGGTCAACACTGTGCACTCAGCTGAGCACGCCCGACATGCCCCAGAGAGCTAAGGGCAAGAGTGAGGCGCAGCCGTCCACACGGCCAGCCTGCAGCCCAGGAGAGAAGGTTCCACAAGCCTCCTCCACCCTCTTCCTAGGCTGCTGCATCCACAACCACCCCGGGGCCTCAATGCTGTCACAGGGAGGCCGACGGGAGCCTCTTGGGCACCTCGCAGTGTAGCCCCATGCCCAGCCCACCTGCAGCTCCAGGCAGTGCCTCTGCTTCTCTGAGATCTGGCTCTTCAGGGCCTGCTTCTCCTTCAGCAGCTTCTCCAGGGACAGCGTGGCCCAGTCCAGCTGTAGCTCCTCACAGCGAGCCTTGAGCTGATGGGACAGGGACGGGACAGCGTCAACTGGCTGACTGGCAGCACGGCGCACTCCGCACCCTCAGGGCAAGGGCTCCCTGGACCAGCCTCGGCCAACAGCCTGTGTGCTTAGAGAACAGAACCCGCTTCTGGAATAGCCACCCACATGAGGCCTAGCTGCTTGCTCACGTGTGTGGCCCTGGCGAGCTTCACTAGCTGAGGATGGGGAGCCAGTGAAGACTGGGGCCCCCACAGACAGACGAGGCAGCTTTGGCACCCACACCACAGCAGAGGGATGCTCATGGGACCCCACACCTCGAGCCTGCCACAGCTGGCCTGCTGTGAGGGGCTCAACAAGCTTTCACAGGTCTCACAATTCGTCTGGGAACCAACCCCACAACAGAGGCGGCATTCCAGAGCCTCCCGCCCGCACAGAGGACACACCCGCCCAGGCGGGGTCCCTCTGGCTCCCTCTATGTCCCTGTCCCGGCGCGGCGGCCCCCACCAGCTGCAGGCTCTGACTGCGGAGCGTGCGGTTGTCCTGCTCCAGCTGCTCCGACTGCTCCCGCAGCTGCTGGTTATGGGCGGAGATCTCCTTCTGCGCTTGAATCAGGTCGTTGTAGGTCAGCGCCTTCACACCCAGCTGGGGACACGGGGTGGGGTGGCAGTTACGCTGGTGGCCTCCAAGGTGAAGGAAGCCCCCAGGCATGGAAAACCCTGCAGCCCGGCCCAGGAGAAATGGCCGGACAGAGGCCTGGACGGGAGCCACAGGAAGGCCGCCCGGCTGCGCCCCAGCCACCGTCAGCCCTCCGGGAGCCGCTACCTCATCCAGCTTCTGCTGGAACAGCCTCCTGATCTCCTCCTTCTGGGCCTGGCAGTGGCTGAGGAGCTGCTGAGCCGTGCCCAGGAGCTGGGCGTTCTTCTCCTGCAGGACGGACGGGGCAGGTGGCTGAGGGCCCGCAGTGAAGGCCCACGCCCTGCCTCTCACACCTCCCTGCAGATGCGCTCAAGGACAGACATGTATGAGGGGACCCACACTGGGCTGAGATGCCCAGTAACACTCAGGCCGCGGTGGGAGGGGCCAGCTCTGCATCTGGTTCACTGCGGAGGGAAGCCAACGTCTAGGAGTTTACCCCAAGGCAATACCAGGGGATGGACTTTTGACATGGATCTGCAAGGAAGCCTGCTGCAGTGCCCCACTGGCCTGCCCCGAAGGGAAGAGCCAGGAGCCACTGCCATGGGACAACACCCAGAAAGCGGCCAAGAACAGAGCCCTGGCCTGGGCCTGCTGTCAGCCACAGGAAGCAGTGTGTGTGCCTGTGCTCAAAGCACCCCGTAGGCCTTTTATTTTTGAGACGGAGTCTCTGTCACCCAGGCTAAAGTGCAATGGCGCGATCTCAGCTCACTGTAACCTCCGCCTCCAGGGTTCAAGTGATTCTCCTGCCTCAGTCTCCAGAGTAGCTGAGATTACAGGCACCTGCCACTATGCCCAGCTAACTTCTGTATTTTTAGTAGAGACGGGGTTTCACCATGTTGGACAGGCTGGTCTCAAACTCCTGACCTCATGATCCGCCTGCCTCAGCCTCCCAAAGTGCTGGGATTACAGGCGCAAGCCACTGCGTCCGGCCTTGTAAGCTTCTTTAAAGAAAAACCTAAGTCCAAAATGCAAACCAGGGCTCAGAGACAGTAGACCTCATGGCTCCAGTGGCTTCTGGAGCCACCTCTGGGCCACCAGAACTTCCACCCACAGCCTGGCCCTAGCTCCGCACTGAGGCAGGTCCTCCACAGCTCCCTGGGGGAGATCAGGGGTGCGGGGGCTGCCCCACAGCCGGGACCTCAGGTGATGGAAATCATGTATACAGTGCTCCATTTCCAAGACGAAGTGCCTTGAATCGGCTTAGGTCAGCACACCGCAGCAGACAGCATGTACTAGGCCCCCGCCTGGATCTCTGATGCCTGCTTCTCGGCCTCCCCAGCCCCCTCCCCTGCTTAGTTGCCTCACCCAAACCAAAGAAGTTGAGTCTAAGATCAACGTTCAGTATCCTGCTTTGCCTGTTCTTACGAGCCTGCCCCCATTCAGGCCATGAGTCAGGTACTTGAAGAGCCCCTGAGCTGACTAGGATTGCAATGCATTGTGGGCAGTGACAAAATGCAGCAAGAGAACCCTAGAGAAAACACCTAAAGCCCCTGCCCAACAACCACCAGGCGACGCCCGGGAGGACTGGGACCCCACCGTCCTCAGCCCGTGAGACGGGGGGAGGGCTGCGCGCCGGGGGTGCACTGCTGGCTGAAACTGCTGGGTGTGGCCCTGAGACACCGGATCTGGTAAAACCATATGAAGAGTCTCGATTCGCTCTTCTCTGGGTCTCTCAGTCCATTCTTTGGGTTTAAAACAGGTCAGTTTGTTTCTCCCAGCAGCTGAGGGGAGGAGGGAGCCACTAAGGCCTGCACTCCAGGGCCTCTCCTGTGGGGAACGGATGCCCGGGAACCGGCACCAGCCTGTCTCTGTGCGGGCAGGAGGAATCTGAGGGGCCGGGACCCACCTTCTCCTGGCCCAGCAGCTCCTGCAGGCTGGCCTTGTACTGGGGGGTCTTCGTGTACGCCAGGAACTGCAGGTACTGGATCCTGAAGGACTCTGGGAAGAGAGGCGCAGCACAGGTGAGACGAGGGCAGCCGAGGCTGGGAGGAAGTCGGAGCAGCCGTGAGAAACTAGCACAGGGCCGGGGCAGGCGCTCAGGAGGCAGGAGCCTGGCAGAGCCCTGCGGGGCCCACACCACATGCCCCCGACCCCTGCTCCGCCCAATGTCCACTGTGCAGGGCATTGCAGGGCCCTCAGCAACATCCCTAGCCGTCACTCGCCCCGGGCCAGCAGCACCATCCAGTCATGACAAGCACAGATGTCCCAAGTGTCACCCAGCATCTCCTGAGTGAAACCTCAAACAACCCACGGGCTGCATCTGAGCCTCTCCTGACCCCTGCAGCAGGCAGACCCCCACCCTGGGTGAACCTCAGGGAGGTCCAGCATGTGGGTCATGAGGGCTGCCGCGAGGTCAGAGTCACAACCCATGGTCCTCCCAGGACCGCCCCAAGCCCAAACCCCTCCACTGGCCCCTTGCACTCGAGAACTCACCTAGCAGCTTCTGTAGTGCGGGTGGGGTGGGCGCCACCAGCAGCGGGTTGGGGGAGTGCCGCTGCACGCTTGGAGGTAGCTGGTAGAACGGGCTGTGAGGGGACCTGTAGGCATCTGGGGCAGAGCAGTGGGCGGGTGTCAGCATGGGGCAAGTGCCCAGTATGCCTTAGGACGGGGCCGCCCTGACGGCATAGCCACACCAGGGAGGCTCCCGGGACCCCCTGGATACCCAGGGCTCAGGAGGGTGGCGTCCTCTGCACTTGGGGATGGCGGGCGCCGTGGGGTAGGGGTGACTCACCCTGGGGCGAGGAGGCCGCCGTCTGAGACACGGTCTGCGCGTGTAGGAGATCCAGTGCAGTTTGGTTCTTCTTGGGCTTCCGCTCGGGGTTCGCAGTGTTCATCTTCTTGGGGCGCCCACGCTTGCGGCCTGCCATCTTCCTCCCCTTCTTGTTCAGCTTCTTCTTGCGGGCTTTGGAGGGAGACGGCTTCTTCACGGTGGCTGCTCCCGCCTTCTCTTCCTCAGCACCAGAGTCCTGGAGGACCCAAGGGAAGGGCAGGGGTGAGTGCAAAGCCTCCCACCAATGGGGTCTCCCGGGTCAGGGGCGGCGCCCTCCAGCAGCGGTAGCCAGGTGGGGGCTCACCATGGGGGCTTCGGCAGGGCCAGCTGCCTTGCCCTCGGGACCCTTGGTGGGCGTGGCCGCGTTGCTCTTGCCCTCGCGCTGCTGGCGGCGCCGGGCTGCCTCCTGTTCCTCCTGGAAGGAGAGTGATTGAGCCCCTGTGAGCCCCGGTGCTGCCCACAGCCCTCCTGAACCCAGGGGCATGCAGGGCTCAGACTCGAGGGGACCACAGGCCCAACTCTGTCTGTCCTCTGCGGCACAAATCAGGAAGCTGAGGCCCAGAGACAGCAGTGGGCTGCTTGGGGCCCCAAAGGCCAGGACGTGACCCGTGGACACAGATGACTGTATTCACAGCCACTCCCAAGATCACACACACCCGTCAGTAAGAGGCCTGACTGTGGGCCATGGAGAGAGAGAGCCACATCCACGAAACGAGACAAGATGAGCCTCAGGCAGCAGGACCCAGAAGCCGCAGCCCACAGCCTCCCCTGCCCTCTCTCCTCTCAGCGAAAGGCGCCAACGCCCACACATGGGACGCTGTGACACACAGGAAGAACACAGGATGCACCAGCCACCTTGGGCTGTTCTGCTCTTCAGAGAAGACCTGCACCCCCACTAAGCACAGTGGGAAGGACACAGGACCCCCAAGGGGTACCACGCTCTGAGGCCAGGTTACAGCCCAGCCCCAGCTACAAGTCTAGGTAGTGACAGAGCTGTTTGTGGGTGGGGTTCTCCGCACACTGATCTCATCTGACCCTCCAAAAGGAAAGGACGCTTGGACAAACCAGCCTCTCAGCTTTGGTGGCAAATAAGCAGGCGAGTCTGAGGCTGCAGAAGCAGCAGTGGGCAGGGCCGTCACTGCAGCTCCCAAGACAGGCTTCCGCACGACTGCAAAACGCGGGGACAGCCTGCCTCGGAAGCACAGAGCCGTGGTGGCCCAGGAGCTGCACTCGACACCGAGGGGGGACAAGTACAACATGTGGCCCCCCAGGCCTCACGAGAAAGCAGGTCATTCACCCACGCAGTCCTTCAGTGCAACTCACCCCATCACCAAAGCTAACTCAAGCCACCTCCCCCAAAATGGGTATCAACAAGGAAAAGGATGGCCCAGGCCAGACCATCGAAGACAAGGCAAAGCACAGACAGAGACAGAGACTGAATGGGGAGAGAGAAGCAGGGGAAAGGTGGGAGGAGGCCGGGGAGGCCGGGGTGGGGAGAGGATGGGAGGAGTGGCAGGAGGGGCAGGGCTGCGCCCGTCATGGCTCGGGAACCCACCACGCGGCTCTGACTCTCCCACATTGGAGAAAATACACAAACTTACCCTGAGTTTTGGGTTTTTCAGACTAGAAAAATAATTTTCAAGCTAAAAAGAAGAAAGAGAAACCTCATTAGAAGAGAGTCCCAATCTCTGCTTGGATTTGCCTGGACACCCAGGTAACATCAGCTCCTCAGAGCGGGGGAGGCTGTTCTGGTACTTGGGGACACCAGGCATGCAGCTGGAGCCCCTGGCAGCAAATGCGGATGTGACTGACCCAACTGTGGCCAGACATCACCCTCAATTCACCAGCACGTGACAGCTGGGGCGGGACGGCTTTAAGCCTTCAGGACGGACACAGGCCTGGGATGTGGCTTCTGGAAGAGGGTGCACTGACACATCGCATCTGCCTCCCAGGAAGGCGAGGGGCCGAGATGAGCAGGCAGCAGCACTGCCGGGGGTGGGCCGCACGCTGGGCATCGCCCCAGAGCCTCAACCTCCGCTCACCTTGCCTCTCATCCCAGGGCACTCAGGGGGGCAGTGGGAGGGACGGGGTGCATCTGCCTGGGGCGGTCGGCCCGCGGCTGCATCAGCGCTCCCCAGGAAGGCTGTAGTGGAGGCTCCAAGCACCCGACACTGAGGGTCTGGACACACCAGCACCACAGTGAGGAAAACCGCCGAGACCCCAAAAAACAGAGACTCAGTGCCCAACCAAAGGACGGGAAAGAGACCAGGGGAAGCCTCCCAGCGTCGAGGGCCGCACCGCCCACACGGCAGGAGGCTTGGGGAACCTGTGCAAAGGGGCCGTCGGGGAAGCACCGTGAGAGGGAGGCAGGCCCCACGCTGGCCCAGGGCCATGTCAGAGGACACCGGGAAGCACAGGGAGGGAAGAAGCATCCCAGCCCCCGCCCATGGACCCTGGCGTCTCCACCATCTGGACCCTCTTACATCGAAGGAACTGGGAAAGGGATGTGGGACTCCCGTTCACAGGGGCCTCTGGATATGGTGGCCAGGACCCTCATGGCCAGGCATCTCCCATGGCCCCACCCCACCCCAGAGGCTGGGAGCAGACAAGGGCTCAGCCCGTACCCAGAACACGCCCGGTGCCTGGGAGAACCTCGTGGGTCCTGCAGTGCCAGCAGTGGGGAGAGTCCTTGAGCAGCTGGGCCCGGGCCTGGGCCCGAGGTGGCAGGGGCGGGGCATTCGGGGCTCTGGGGTGAGGGTCTCAGAGGCCCTCATTGTAAATGTGAGCACAATTACAATGCTACTGTTTCTCAAAGGAGAAGGGCTTTGCTTAGACTGCCATTTTACAGACCAAGAAGGCAGGAGGTGTGACGTGGTTGGGGGAAGGCGAGGGCGGCCCTGCGGCCAGGGCGTGGCCAGATACTCACTATGGTGCGGTCAATAGTGTGCAGGTAGTACGACACCGGCTTCCCCGTCCATGACACCGAGCCCTTGAGGGGCGATAGCTCCACCACACGCATGATGGTGCCGATGTCTGCGGGAGCCACAGACCAAGGTGAGGCCCGAGCCCACCCGCAGCCCCTCCACGCCCGCCTCACCCACCAAGGGCGAGCCAGGGGACAGAACCCTGAGCTGCACACGTCCTCCCTCTCCTCCCACACTGAGTCAGACCACAGTAGCCCACAGAGGCCGCCTCAACCGCCGGGCCAGGGAGGTGCACCATGGAACAGCACCTGGCCTCTAGCCTCAGAAGAACGGCCGCAGGCCCAGCTGAGTGGAACGGGAAAGGAGGGGAGGAGATCTAGAAGCAACTTAGATCGTGGCTGCACCTGGCCAGCACCCAGCAACACAGGCACCTCCCGGGCAGACACTCCTCAAGGACAGGGACCCGACAGAGCACGCCACACATGAGGCTGGCAGGGGGCGCAGGAGGGGCCAGCTACTTCCCCAGAGGGGTCGTCCCTGTCCAAAAGGGTCCCTTAGGGCCGGGCGCGGTGGCTCAAGCCTGTAATCCCAGCACTTTGGGAGGCCGAGGCGGGTGGATCACGAGGCCAAGAGATCGAGACCATCCTGGTCAACATGGTGAAACCCCATCTCTACTAAAA